CAGACTCTGAGGCATAAGCCTCAAACCAGGCCAGCCGGGGAAGAGGGAAGCAAGACACATGGAGACGCAGCCCGCACCTGCAGCTGCGGATAACGGAGAGCGGAGAGCGCAGCAGTGACAGGGTGGGCTTAGTCCCTGTGCCCCTGCAGCCCCTCCTGGAGCACAGCAGCAGCTCAGCTGGAGCATCTGTGGCAGAAGCCTCAGTTCAAAACAGCGGTGGGACTTTTTATTTATTTTTCTTTTTGCTTTATTCTTGGACAGAAACCAAAACTGCATAGATAAGAACCCACCCCCACCCTCCCTCAGAAACCTCTGCCCCTGCCATGCCAGTAAGCCTACCTTACCCCGCCCCCACCTCTACTGCATCGCTAGGGAGGCAGGGCAACTTCAGCTGCTGAGTCACTTTCAGGACCCCAGCAGGTGGCTTTTGGCAGCTCTGAAATCTCACCCGCCACAGCCTCCAGTGGAAAGAGTGCCAGAAGATGCACATTGAGCCTTCTAGCTGCGCAGCACTCAGTGTGCCTCTGGGCAGGCAAGAGCAGAAACGGCATTGACTTTGTAAAAACTATCAATCACACCTCATAACCCCACTCATCTACAATAGACCTGCACTGCCAGGGTCACTCTAGGTGCCAGGTGGCCAGCTCTGTCCCCACAAGATGCAGGGGAGTTTTTGTATAGCAGAGGACAGCCTGGAGAGAGCTTGGTGGACTTTAGCCAAGACTGGCACTGGTTTTTTGTTTGTTTTTTGGTGTGTTTTTTGTTGTTATTTTGGGTTTTTTGGGTGTTTGGGGGCTGGGGTTTTTTTTTTTGGGTTTTTTTGGTTGCTTGTTTTGATTGTTTTTGTTTATTTCTATTTCATTATTATCATTTTTAGTTTTTAATATAGTCATATATAGGTGTACATATGTGTATATATATGTCCATATATATGGGTGTGTAGATGTATATATATATATAGTTTTTTTCTCTTTCTTTCCTTCTTTCTTTTCTACCCTCATTCTCTCCCTTCTTTTCTTTTTTCTTTTCACTGCTCTACTTTTCCTCCCTCNGGAGGTCAGGACTGCCCACATTGAAATGCCCTGAACAACATGGAACACTATCAATTTTTTTTCTTATTTACCAATATGATAGATTAAAAAATGTCCATCTTATTTTTTTAATTTTAACTTTTTTGTTTACAAGTGACATAGAAATTTTCCTAAACTTATCAACTATTTTTCTTCTTTTCTGAGGGGCTTGTTTTGCCTGTTTTGTAGGAAATGTTTACCGCTTTCTTATTTCTAAGAGCTCCTCATATATTAAGGCTAATTACCCTTTCTTATAAATGTTGTAAATTTCTTGGTTTGTCTTCCAACTTTGTTTGGGGTGTTTTGGGAGGCCCTGCCTTTTCTGAAAGGAATGTCCACATGTCTTAGAGTAGTCTGCAGTTCCTTTGGGGGTTTTGTGATAGTTTCAGAGGCCTACAGCAACCAGAACTGCTCAGAAAATAGACTGGCAGTGTCTGGTAAAAGAGCATTTAGGAAATAAAAATGTTAAATAGAATTTCAGGAAGCATCTGTTTTGATGACTTAATTAACAGTAAAATATCATGTTATACTACGTAGCACATAGACCTCTTACACCTCAACAAACAGACGTTCTTTGCATTGCATTTTGTTTCAGGTTTCAAACAGTTGATTAGGAGTCTTAAATAAAAAGTTTTTTTGTTTGTTTATTTCAAAAATTATTTCTGGACATAGACTGGCTTGCCTCATGAGTGGAGTAATATCCAGTACCTCTCTGCTCACTTGCTCTTTATCATGGCTTTCATCCTTTATACTACAGCGCTAATGCTGAATGCCATTTGATTATCAAATTATTATTAAATGAAATAGAAATTATTACTTTATATAGTCACCCAATGGTATATCTCTTTTCCTTTTTTATGTATTTCAGCTACTTTTCCAAACAAAATAAACTAACAATAAACTCTCGATATTTTCGGCACACCAAATTAGCTTCCAATTTTTTCAAAACACACATTTCACACATTTTCACATATCCATCCATTGTGAATTCGCCTATTTTTCAGTTTAAATTATTTTATGTACAATTTTTTCATGTGTCACAATCATCAATGTAATTATCATTTTATTAGTTGGATAGTATTCCAACGGTTTGATATCTCAGATAATTTTTGAAAGTTCTTTGGTTCATGAATTCTCTTCAGCTCCTGTCAAGTATTATCTGATGCACAGTTTTGTCCTCTCTGCCCTTATTGTTCCTTTTCCTCACCTCCTTCAGCCTCAGCCAGAAGCCGGCAGAGTCCTCCTCACTGTCAGGTACGCACACAAGCAGAGCTTGGACAGACAGAACAAAAGGAACACATCAGTGGTGCTTAACTTCCCCGTGAAGACTGCTACCTATTTGGTTCCTGGCAAATAATATTTTCCTAGATGCAAAGAACCATCTGCTCTCCCTCAATGACTATGATTAACTCCAGAGATTCTTTGCTATCCTTGTGGTGAACTCAGCTCTCTCAAGACCCACTATGGGGAATCATGTACAATGTCCAAGAAACAATGAGAGTAACTATAGTTGCTGATATATCCTTTAGCACTCCTTAGATTTTCACAATATCACCCTATCATTAATATCTTTAAAGGGAGACATGACCTATATATTTTAAAATTGATTCCATAAAATGGTGCTAATTAATTTTTTTATTTATATGCATTAGGGAATATTTTAATTCTCAATTTTTAGGTATTTCTGCTTTTTTGAAACTGCCAGACATTTGTCAGAACTTTACATTTCACCTTCTTTAGAAAATGTTTCAGAGTCACTTGATTTTATAATGAATCTATCTAGGCAGATCATATAGCTGAGCTCACAATCTTTGGATATCATCCTTTGAACCAAATGTGCTCATCATTTCCTCCCAGATATTTGGAAAGTTCTACCCAGCAAATCCCTTGCCACTGCCAGCAAAGGTCCGGCCTTTCCGTGAGCCACCGCTCGATCCAAGTACATAACCTCCCTCTTGATCCTGCCCTTCTGGAGCCGGTGTCACAGTCAGAGATACTGTATGTCTATTTTATTCACAAACAGGAAAAATCAACTACTGCCGACTGAGCATTTAGAAGACATCGTGTTAGGATGTTTATTAATAATTTCTCATTTCACCTTCACAATAGTAGTGGGAGATGGGAATTACCACCATTTGTACATCTGGAAGCAGAGACTGAAAGTTTAGGTAATGGCCATGCTAAGAAACTGGTGCAGCTGAGATTGGAAGCCAGGTTGAATTGAATTACTCTTTAGCCAAGTGTTTTCACTGGTAACTAAATTATCACCATATATATATATAAAAGTTAAACTGTCGCTGAGGTATCACTGGTGATCCTGAGCCCATTGATGGGTGATTCTAGTGTTCAATGAAGTGTCCTGATGTGTCCTTATCTGGCTTTTTTGCTACTTAGAGAGGTAATAAACCAAGCACAACCAGTGGAGAAGGCAGGAGAAAAGGTGCTGGAGGAGATGAAGAATCTGCGGGCCAAAGCTCTCAACTCATACCTGATCCTAGAATAAAAATCAGCAGTAGGTCGGTTGCTCTCATTTGCTTTCTGCAGGTCACTGTGGTCCTTTGTGTTCATTTATGTTCCAGCCATTTTGGGAATTAAAGTTTCTAGAGAAAAAAAATTAAAATGTGGATGATGATGTATATATAGTTTTGTAATAATTTTTCTTTTTAAAAATAAAATCTCATTAGTGTGATGGCGGTGTTTGAGGCTTCTTTGGGCAGGATTTAGTGCTGGCACAAAGGCTTCCTGAGCAAGGCGTGAGCCGCTGTGATGAGAGCCGCCGTGATGAGATGCGGTGCTGACAACATTCCTGAGTCTTTTGGAGGCATGGTGCCCAGGGGCCAGAGGGACCAAAGGTTTGGGGAATGGTCGCTTTCCCACCTCTGTACAGAACCAGCCCCATCGGCCCCCTGAGCTTCACCCCTGAGCATCGCTGACTTTGGCTTTGGCAGCTACTCCCAGAGAGATCAGCCCTGGTGGGGACACTGGCTCCCCGAGTAGCTATGTGATGGCAGACACTAGCCAGGGGGGCACTGGAAATGGAGGGGACATTGTGGGAAAGTAGAGCTTGCAGACTGCTTTGAGAACAACTGGTAAAACACCCTTCTGGGAACTCTCAGAGCACCGGGGAAAAGAGGTCATTGCCAAGAAGCCAGGAGTCCCTGTAAACATTTCAGTAAAAACCAGGCCTTTTGATTGTGTAACATGGCTCTATTCATTTGCATGAGCTGGTTCGGCTGATGACATTTGGGCTGTAACAACCCATAATTATCCAAATATATTTGGATGTATTCCCTCAATTTTTTTTCTATGCATACATTTAAATAGCTGATATCAAACTATGTATACAATTCTGTTTAAAGATTTAAATATAGCTAACATACAATATTATATTAGTTTCAGGTGTACACCATAGTTATTCAACATGTATATACCTAAAAAAGTGATCACCATGATAAGTTCAGCAACCATCTGACACCGTACCACACTATCACAATATTATTGACTATATTCCTCATGCTGTACATTACATCCCCATGACTTATTTGTTTTATACCTGGAAATTTGGACCTCTTATTCCCCTTTACCTTTCCCCCACTTTTAAAAATTTTCCATTACAGTTGACATTCAGTATTATTTTATATTAATTTCAGGTGTACAGCATATACATATAATAATTTATGAAGTGTTTTAATATAATTTAAGAAGTGATTTCCCTGACTAGTCTAATACCCACCAGGCACTATACATAGTTCTTACCATATTATTGACTATATTCCCTATGCTTTACTTAACATCCCATGACTATTTTGTCACTACCAATTTGTGCTTTTTAACCCCTTCACCTTTTTCACCCTTACCCCAACCCCCTCCCATCAATTACCCCAAAAACTCTAGTACCCATCTGATACCATACAAAGTTATTGCAATATTATCAACTATAGTCTTCATGCTATACCCTATAACCCCCTGATTACTGTGTAACAACCTACTTCTTAATTCCTTCCCCTTTTTTTACCCACACCCCCAACTCCCCTCCCATCTGGCAACTGTCAAAATGTTCTCTATCTATGAGTTTGTTTCTGTTTCGTTTGTTAGTTTTGTTCTTAGATTCCACATATAAGCAAAATCAAATTGCATATGTCTTTCTCTGTCTGACATACTCCACTCAGCACTACACCCTCCAGGTCCATCCATGCCACTGCAGATGGCAAGAACCCATTCCCTTCCATGGCTGAGCAATATTCCTTTGTATAATGTACCATCTCCTCTTTATCCATTCATCCATTGATGGACACCCAGGTTGCCTCCGCATCTTGGCCATTGTAAACAATGCAGCAATGAACATATGGATGCACATGTCCTCTCAAAGTAGTGCTTTGGATTTCTTTGGATAAATACCCAGAAGTGGGATTACTGGGTCCTTCATTGTCTCTTTTTATAGCCTTTGTTTTAAAGTCTATTTTATCTGGTGTAAGTAAGGCTACCCCTGCTTTGTTTGTTTGTTTGTTTGTTTGTTTGCTTGTTTGTTTGTATGTTTCCATTTTCATGAAAAAACTTTTTCCATCCCTTTCTGCCTGTGTGTG